TCGGTGGAAAACAGCAACTCGACAATTCCCTCAACAACTAATCAATTTGAATACGACATTATGATAGTGAGTCTATACATTCTTATGATAACATAGACGAAGACGACGGAGTATATAGATGACGTCTCTAAATCAAAATAGATAGAGCTGGTAGATTTACAAAATATTTTTCTGAACAAGGATTAGACAAACACATACATAAGGTTAATAAGCTAGCAAGTAACACTCGTCTTTTCAGTCGCTTAGCATTTTTTCGCCGAAATGATATTTCTCCCCATTCATTGAAAAAAAAACAATTAAAAACTTGATTTTCTTTGGTTTTCGTTAACTACGATTGTTCTTGAATCAAAGATTTCTTTTAAAAACGAATGTGACATGTTGGTCGAAGTTTAATATACGTCCGTTCTTTGACAGTAGGTCAAAACTTCTACTATTACAAGAAATCACTCGTACAGCTATAATAGATATATTTTTTAAAGACTGCATAAAAGCAGATGCAATTTCGAATTTAGCTGTTAAAAAATGTAAGTATAGAAAACTGCTGATGGATTAGATCTATAAGCTTGTGAACACAACCCATAAGCGAATAAAGTGATATTCATTTGATAAGGAACATGAGCATATTCATATACAGAAATGCTCATGGTAACTCAACTTCGCTTACTGTAAATTGTATTGAAGAAGGCATGGCTTCAGAATCAGGTTTTATAGGTTTCGTCAGCGGCATTTTTTGTTCTAGAGCTATTGTCACCAGGATAAAGAACTGGTTTATCAAATACAAGAGCGACTTCAAAAAGACAACTTTCGTGTTTGGTTTGATCGTGATAATATGAGCGGTTCTCCGACGCGATGTATGGCCCATGCCATTGAGAACAGTGAGGTAACTTGCAAAAAGAGCTATCTCGCCTACATTAATTAGTAAAGTTTGTTTTCTATTGCATGTCGGATTCGTACAAAAAAAGTGGTTACTGCGAAATGGAAGCGCACTATGCACTTCAAAATCGACGTTGCATTATTCCACTGATTGTTAAGGGCCCATATCATGCGGATGGTTGGCTTGGTTTACTCACCACAAACAAAATCTACATTGATTTTCACAAGTATAAAAGCTTCGACGAGGCTTATAGCATGATCATTCAAGAAGTTAGTCGATATCGAGGTCGGTCAGCCGCAAGTGTACCAGCAGTTCAGAACAGCCACCAGTTGCCAACGTCAGTGCGTATTGTTCCCAGCACACCGTCGACTGCCGTTATGTAAGTGATACTCTTCAATTCTATTTAAGTTTAATATTTTTTATTGCCTAACCATAAGGGCTCCTGCTCTACCGGCTCGAACTTTGTCACACGTCCTCACTTTATGGTCCATAGACGATGTGAAATATTTTTTACAAGTAAAAAATCTTGACGCGATGATACCGTTATGTCCAGAAATGGATGGATCGACATTGTATGGACTGTATACAATGTGTCGAACAAACTCTAATTCAATGTATGAGTCGCTGAAGGCCGAACTAGCCCAATCAGACTCAAAAATATTGCCAATTTCAACCTATCTGAAATTCTTAGAAGAAACGAAAAAATATGTGCCTATTATTCCTGGTAATGCAAATGCTGCATCGATGATCTGCACTCTTATGTAGTTTTGTATCCCACACAGAAAATCCAATTTTTAACACTTTTAAAAATATACACATGTTTTTTTGCAAAAAAACTATATTGCATGCTGGGTGTGGATGTGAATGAGAATAGTCAAGAATACGGGGTGGGTGTGGGTGTGGAAGCCGACATGATAGATATTTCGATATATCTTTCGACTGTGATGATTCATCACCTTTGATTTATCGATTAGTAATAGTCTTAGTAATAAATAAAAGGATTTAATCTCATACACAAAATGACATTAAAGCATCTTTCTTCTCCTCTTATAAAAACATAACCTTATCTAATCATGTTACGCTTGTTGTTGTTATCGGTTGTAGTTGTTCTCGTTCGATATGGTTCTGCCAATACATGTCCATCTCGATCATTCATCAAACAATCACTTATCGATGCTCATATCCCAGGTGCAGCAATTATTGTGGTCAATACTACCGATATTCTTTATCAAGAAGCATTTGGTTATCAATCTTTTTTTCCAATGAAAATGATGGATGTGAACAAATCAATTTTTGTTCTTGCTTCAATCTCGAAAACATTTATTGCTGTAGCAGTTATGCAACTAGTTGAATTGAATCGACTCGATCTTGATACAGATATTAATCAATATTTATCATCACCCAATCAACGCATCTCTCATCCACAATATCCTTCTCATGCGATTACTCTTCGTCAGCTTCTCTCTCATTCAGCATCCATCGGTATCAATGAAGAAACAGATCTTACTTTTATGCAATATGAAGACGATGCGTTCATGCAAATGTCATTGGCTGATGCTTGTTTTACATACCTAAGTCACAATACATCAAACTGGTTGCCTAAACCACCAGGTACTGTAACACTGTACTCAAATGTTGGTACGTCACTTGCAGGATTAGTGATTGAACGTGTCACACAAATGCCATATGAATTATATGTCAAAGAAAATATATTGAAGCCATTAGATATTAACGTAAAAAAAGCAGGCTTTCGTCTATCTGATATTGAAGATAGAGAAGAATTAGTTAAACAATATGTATTCAATACTTCAGATCTCGAAGCATGGAATCAAGCATTACCACAATTGAATATTACAAAAGTATAAAAAAAGCAGAATAATTATAAATTGTTTTTTTTTAATTTAGAATCCTTTGCTTGATTGGCTTTATATTCCATTCTATAGTGTGAGTATTTATCCAGCTGGTCTTTTACGAATGTCAGCTCAATCTCTTTCCAAATTTCTTCGAATGTTTATGGACAATGGATCTTCTTTGTTACATCCTCGCTCAATTGCCGAAATGCGAAAAGTAGTGGATGGTGTTGTTCCACACGACAATTCAAATCCACCAATACATAGTTTTGGCTTGATTTGGAACTGGCGAAAGTTAAGAAATCGCCAGCGATACATTGGTCATGGCGGATCAATGCCTGGCGCAACACATTCCATGCTCATAAACGAACAAGGGACTATTGGCATAATTGTTCTTACTAATGCGGATGTTTCTCCTGATAATGATATATCAATAAGAACTCGTGGAAAAATAGAAGATATTCAAATGTCACTCTTTAGTTGCTTTGAGAATTGATCAAATCTTATCGATATTCTTCAAAATTTATAAAATAAATGAACGCCTACAATGATTTTCTAATATTTTGTTCTGATAATCAATGTTGGATTCTGTTAAATCTATTTTATTCACATCTCTGACGTAGAGAAAATGAAACTATTATAAGTATGTGCGTCACAGTTAAACAGAAAATTGTATTTGATGCATTCGTTTACTTAACAACC